TTGCAAAGGGAGAATCGACAGGATTTGGCCAACTAGGATATGGGGGTGAGAAAGAATGCGGACTTGAGGATGACAACTGGGTTGCCTGAGCCTGGCTGACTGGGAGGTTGGTATGCTTGACAAGAAGACGTGGAGGCAAAGGGGAGCATGACCTTTGCTTCAAGTGTTTGAATGCCTCTCCTCAGGAAAAGAAAGGAGATTTAATGGAGAAGGGGAGTGGAGATATGGGACAATAGCTAGCAGGGAGAGTGGGATAAAGTGAGGGTTTTAAAGAATGAGGGAGAAATGGGCATCTTTGTAGGCAGCAGAGAAGGAGCCAGTAGATAAGGAGAGATTGAAGATTAGAGAAAGCAGGGACAATAGAGGGCACAATCTGCCAGAGATGACAGGAAGGGATAGGATGTGCATGCAGAGGGTTTTGCCTTAGCAAGCAGAAGGAGATGTCAAAAAAGAAGGAAATCAATGTAGGCTGGAGTTATTGGAAAAATCTGAGAGTTCTTTTCACTTTTCAAAATTGCCTCATCTTTGCAATCTGATTTCTTCAGGCACAAGATGGGTTTCAAGTATTTATCACTTATATAACAGTTTATAAATTGAATAGAGGAGACTTTTAAGCTTGCTTGGGGTATAGAAGACAGCATTAAAGTCTCCAGTCACTCTCGTGTTCAGGAAAGGAAGATCCATGCTTGGGCACGAGCTCCCAGAAAAATTGGCATTAACAGTATGGGCTCACCGTGAAATATGGAATGATATCTTTTCATTAAAAACCAAACCTGGGGTGCCTAGCGCAAATGCTTGTCCAGTGGCCATGTTGGCTTGTGCCCTGTAAGCATTGTTTTATCAAACTGTGACAAGAGAAAACTCAATGAAAAGCTAATTTCCTGTGTTGGGGACTGAGGGAGCTGTACCGATATACTTACCCAGCCTGAAGTCCTGACCCTCAGCAACCTCTGCAGTCCTTTCTCACAGGTCCTGGAGTTTCCCTGCTGTTCCAGAGAAATTCTTAAACCAATTCAGGCTCTTAAATAGCATCAGCTGTTTTTTCTATTCATCACCTAGCACACGTGAGCCAGGAAGCTGGTATTTGCACTAGTTCTGTGAGTTAGGCAAGGGAAAGAACTTTAGTATCAGTTTGCAGAAGAGAAAACAGAGCAGTCTAATGGAATGGAGAAACTCGCCAGATTTGGGGTCAGAAGACCCAGGGTCTACCTCCGCTTTGTCACTAACTTGCCATTCGACATTGGGCAGATTCCTTTCCCTTGCTGAGCCTCAGTTTCCTCCTCTGAAACAGTAATGATATTACTCACACTTCCTGCTTTATAGGATAAGAACCTTACAGTGCAATAGAAAGTTTTTATCAGTCTCCTGTGATCTCCTAGGAAAATCATACATCAAAATGACCTCTCCTGGTCTGATCTATTGATTGGGACATGTTTCCTCTTCTCTCTCTATGGTTATAATCATGTAACTCATATTTTTATAGCACTTTAAGGTTTACAAAGTACTTTTCTCTTGATAGGTCTGTGATATAGGGAGCAAAAATATTAGCCGCCCTTTGCACCGGAGGAATTGTAAGCCTAGATTTGGAAAATGACCTACCCAATGTCACACGGCAAGTTAATAACAGAGATAGGCCTAGAACCCATGGCTCCTTAGTCCCAATACAAGGAGTTTCTCCTTATACCATGTGACTACATGCCATCGCTATTGGCCATCCAGTTGTTCATCACTGATTTGTTGACTTTTAATATATACAAATCTCAGATGGGCATTGAGCACATAAGAAACATTTTTGCCCATGTATGTCCAGATTACTGGAGGAAGAAATGGCAAATGACTCCAGTATCCTTGCCAAGAAAAGTCCATGGACAATATTGGTGGACTATGGTCTACAGCATCACAAAGAATTGGATGTGACTGAACAAACACCACACATGTCCAATTTGTACTCCCTAATCCAGATTGCACGGTAATGATCTCATCTAGGTTCAAATTAGCTGCAGGTTTTGTTTTTTTGTTTTTTTTTTTTATACTTATAACAACCAGATGCAAATGGGCATCAAATCAGTTTTATTTGAGGTTCTATTGGGTGGCTAGGCACTCGTCCATTTTCCTTACTATTGATCAGCAAATACTTTCTAAAAGGTTGATTTTGTGCTGTAAGTGGCCACATTGGAAAAGTAAAAGATGACCCCATATGCAAAACTTACATATCCAAAGCCAAATTTATTGGAATAACATTTTGGGGTGTAATTGCTGGGAGTTCGGTCTCCCAGTAAGATACAAGCACGTAATTTCTAGATCCCCTTCCACCCTACCACCCCAAGCATTTTCAGTAGTGCACATGTCCTCTAGTCCCATCTCATGTCTCATTTCAACCGGACTGCTCATTCCACTGACCTAAGTTCTACACTTAGGAGTCACATCCACAAGAGGACAGTGGCCCCAAGAGGGAAATGCCTGGCACTCCCATACCTAAGAGTGGTCATTTTTCTCCTCCTGTGTGCTATGAAGTTCTTGTCATTTTTCCTAGTTTCCAAGCTTTATACCCTGTGGAATTGAGGGAGTCAGAAACCACCCTTCAGTTTTACTTTATAGTTAACTCTTTGTTTTCATAGACCTTGAGCCTGGGTTCTACCCACTGTCCCAGAGAAATGGAGAACATTAGGAAGACTATTATATTTTGGACCTATAGTTTGAGTACAGAGAGGCCTTACTTAATCATAGGTTAATGAAAAATAAAAGACCATTAGGGTATTTTAACAAAAACAAAGTTAATGGTGAATAATCCTAGTGAGAGACAGCTAAGTGGTATAGTAGGTAATGCACTGGACCTGAAGTCATGAAGACCTGAATTTAAATGCAGCCTCAGGCACTTATTAGCTGTGCAACCCTGGGTAAGTCATTTAACCTATGTCTGCCTCAGTTTCCTTATCTGTAAAATTGGAGAAATAATAGCACCTACTTCACAGGATGGTCATGAGATAACATATAGTGTTTTACAAACCTTGAAGCACTGTATAAGTGCTAGATGTTAGAGAGAAAGAGAGAGGTATGTTTTCATATTCTAATACAAATAGCTTTACAATTAAAATCACAGAGATATCAGAGTACATAGTCCTATGGAGAGCATAGGATGAAAGAAACCTTTGGTATAGTACCTAAGGAATCAGTTTTTCTACTTTAATCACTGTTAAGTGCCAGGCACTGTGCAAAGTGAAAGAGATATAATTAATTACCTAAAAACAAGGCAGTCTCTGCCCTCAAAGAGCTTACTTTACATACCGGTAGGGGAAAAAACACATATTGAGGGTGAGGGAGGAAGGTGACCAGGAAAGAGTGTTTTGGCCCAGAAAGTCAGGATTGGTAAGTTGAACCATAGAGCAATTGGTTGGCATGTCCTTTGTAAGCATGTAAAAAGCATTTTGCAAACATTAAAATATTACGCAAATGTTAAGTCCAGCCATCAAGCATTTATTTACGTCAGCCACTATGTTAAGTGCTTTACAAATATTATCTCATTTGATCCTCACAACAACCCTGAGAGGGAAATACTATTATTGTCCCCATTTTACAGTGGAGGAAAGTGAGGGAGAGAGCATTTTAGTGACTTGCCCAAGGTCACGCTGTTAGGAAGTATCCAAGGTCACATTTGAATTCAAATCTTCCTGACTCCAGGTTCAGTGCTCTCTATTCACTGAGTCACCTAGTACTCAGTGGGTTTTAGGGATAAAACAATTTCTAACCAAGTCAATGTACGCTACTTGGGAACAGGCAGCACTATTATTGATTTACAGGAAGTCAGGGTAAGGCAATTACGTATTTCTATTTGCTAAGTACCTCTCTTTTGTTCTAAATAAGAAAAAATAATCTTTACACTTCCAAGTAGAATTTATATCATTGTTGGGGGGAAGTTCTTGGCAAGGTAGGTTTTCTTTAAATGATTGTCTGAAAGGGGGGAAGAAATCACTAAGAGTTTAATGTGGCAAAAAGAAAATGATTGTGATATTTGTTCATTTACCCAACTGTTTCAGTGGTTAATCAGAGAAAACGGGACGTGGGTGTAGTTGTGAATCATATCATATGCATCACATATCACATGCTCCTCTTAAAAGAAGAGGTGCTTATGAACCAGAAGGGATTTCCTTTTCTTTGCAGTTGCTTGTGAAATGCCCTCTAAATCTAGAGTAAAGTTAATAAAAGAAACCTCCCCAAGTACTTGATCAGTTATACTTTTATGATTCCCTGCTTATTATTCTCATTCCCAACAAGTCAGCCCAGTATGGGGCTGGGATCAGAAGGGAGGGGCTGTGTGGGGAGAGGGTGAAAAGACCTATAGCTTCAGCTGGAAGAAAACAGGTAAGTAGAGAAGGGCAGAGGGAGTTTTCTCATTTCAATAAAAAGTGCTTCTCATCACCTAACAAGTTCCTTAATCACAATCACCTTAGTGTGAAGTATGCAATAAGTGAGGGGAAAATAGTTCGCTGACTTTGGAGTTTGAGGCCTTCAGCTGGTCATAGCCACTTTTAATTCTTCTTATGCATTTATCCCATTCTAATTGTATTGTAGTTTTCTGTGTGCTGCCTTCTGGGAACTTATCACCTATTATTGTGTATTAGAGTAATCTGTGTCTCACCCCCCCACCCCCGCCACCCCCGCCCTCCATCTGAACTGTGAGCTTCCGGAGCACAGATTTGATGTCTTATCTGCTTTTTATCTGCCATTACTAAGCATAGTGTTTTGCACATAAGAGATGCTCAATTAGTATTCATTTAATTGAAATAAATTGAATCATTCAAGCCCCTCCTTGACTGTATGTTAGGTTTTATTCATCTCTGCATCTGCCCATGCTCAACCATGCTAACTAAACACAGTGCCCTGGACAAAGTGGGCACTAAACAGATGTTTGGTGGGTGCATTAATGAATCATTTCCAATCCCTTCTTCCCTTGGGTTATGAGTTATGCTTCATGACCATATCTTTCTGTCCGTTTCTCACAGGTGAAGGAGGCCATGCAGAGAATTCATGACAGGGGCAACATAGGAAAATTAATTTTGGATGTAGAAAAGGCCCCGACTCCCTTGGTGAGTATGGAGCACTGAGTGTGCAAACATAAGTTATGGGCAAATTCTATTACCTGATCCCACTTCCTAATGAGAAAAAACAGTGTCCTTTGATTGGTAGGTCTGGAGGTATAACCTGTCTGCAATATGCTTCTTTCCCCTCATTTCTACAAACTCCCTCCTTTAGCAATCTCATTCAGACCCATGAGTGTTGTTTCAGATAAACTGAGACCTGGGAAAGACCTTAGCTCAAAACGGCCAACGTCTCCCACTGCATCCTGGGCCATCTCTCTCCCCTTAAACCGTGAGTTCCTTAAGAGCAGGGACTGGTTTTTGCCTCTCTTTGTATTCCCAGCACTTAGCGTAGTACCTGGCACACAGTAGGTGCTTATTAAATTCATATTGACTAGAACTGGCAGTGTCCTTATAAGTCATCTAGTTAAGTCCTCTCCTTTTACCAAAGAGGAATCCAAACCCAGGGAGTGTGAGCAGCTTGTCTGAGGTCACCCAAGTATTAAGGGCAGAAGCAGGGTTTCTACTCAGGCTCTCTGGCTCCAAAACCAGTACTCTTTCCACTGTCCCATCATACCTCTACTTTAAGTGTTACAAAGCTCTTTTCTTCCAACGCCTCTGTGAGCTAAGTTATCCTACTATGATTATCACCATTTTACATTTAAGGAGACTGAGGCCCACATGAAGTGACTTGGTCAGAGTTGCATGCTTTAGGTCCAGTGCTTTTTCTTTATGCTGCACCACCAATCCACCCTGGATAGGACAGTTGAGGCAAGGTCCCTGCCCTCAAGAAATCTGCAATTTATTCTAATAAGTCTATGAACCTGGCCACTCTACATAATATGGGGATGCTGTCACACAGCCTGTGCCTTTGACGCGAAGCCATTGTCCCTTCTGGATCCTCTCACCAACTTCCAGGGTCAGTGCTCCAAAGTACAAAGAGACAATATCGAGTCTTTTTCCCTATGCCTGTAATGTTGTCCTTCACTCTTTGCCTTTTTAATTCTCGTCCTTCCTTTGAAACCCGTCTCAGCCGCTTCCTCTTCCAGGAAGCCTTCCCTGATCCCTCATAGTCAGTAATGATCTCACCTGCCACCAGCCTTCTGTCCCCAGAAGGGGGACATCATCACCCTTTGTTTTACCTCTCTATTATGCTTTTTTTGTAATATTGTTCATATTGTGAGCTCCATAAGAGCCTCATTTAATGTGTTTTCTCACATAAAAGTACTTGCTGAAAAAAGGAACGAATGAGTGATTGAATCAGGGGGCTTGGTAGAGATCATTCAAGATCAATGGTCATCCTTTATTCCAAGGCCTACTATAAGTCCTAGATTGTTTTTCTTTCTTGCCTGGTGAAGACTGCCAAGTTCTATAACTTAACAAACAAAATGAGCATCTGCCTCCAAGTGGCTGCTATTGAATTTCTGTATTGTTTGTATTGAATGTCTATAATCAGGGTAAAACTATCCTATCCATTTCTGTTTATTTATGGGAAGCAAGCCACTTCAGGGAGCCCTGCCAGTTCTTGGAACATTCTCAGAAATCTTATTGCCCGTAAATGGTGAAACTGAGGAGAGGCATCTGAATGCAGTGGAGAGAAGACTTCTGGGTGTCAGGAGACTGGGTTTTAAGGCTCTGTCTTGCTATCAACTCACTGTGTGACCTAAAGAAATGACTCGTCCGGCCTCATTTTCCACCTCTTTGAAATGAGCAGGCTAATTTTCTATGATCTTCCTTCTAGATCTAATATTGGGTGATTTTCAGTCAGTGCCAAGATGCCTCATCAACTACTATTTGTAGAAACAACTACCCCCACTTTCACAGTTCCTCATTACTCTGTAAAGCATTCTTTAGAATATTAAAGTTTGTATGTCGTGGCATCCCAGAGTTGGAAGGGACACCCGAGGTTATTAAGATGATGCTTCACAATGGGTGGAGCTGCTCGCCAGCACATGGTCACCCAGCCTCTCCTCTAACACTTCCAGTGACAGAGAATTTACTGCCTCAAGAGGCAGCCCATTCCACTTTTGGACAGCTCCAGTGGTTAGGAAATTCTTCCCTCTCTGCCTCCCCATAACCTCCTCTCCACTGCTCCAAGTTAGGCCTTTGGGGCCAAACCAGACCAAGTCTCCTCTCTCTTGCATATGGCCATGTCCCCCAAAGTCATCTCGTCTCCAGAATAAGGGTCGTCATTTTTTTAACCAGTTCGCACCTGAAATGGTCTCAGTCCCCCTCTCCAAGCAGATTGCCCTTCTCTGAACTTCCTTACTCTAGTTTATCAATATCCTTCTTAAAATGTTACACCTAGAACTAGACACCTGATGGGGCCCAATCTGGGCAGAGTACAATGGGATTATTCCCTTGTATAAAGGGAACACTTTGCCTTCCTAAAGTCCGAGATCACATTAGCTGTTTTTACTCCTGCATCGTCCATTTGACTCAGATCGAACTTGGAGTCTGCTACAACTCCCACACGTTTTTTGTTTGAACTGCTTTTGGGCCAATATTTTGTGGCCATCCTTGGTTTCATGCCTTTCTTTTCATCTTTTGTATCCTTAACAAAGTAGCTATGCTAGGTAGCATTTATATAGCACTTTAAGATTTGAAAAGCACGTTTCATTTCATCCTCACAAAAACCCTGTGAAGTATTATTAGCCCCATTTTTATAGATGAAGAAACCAAGGCACAGAGAGGCCAAGTCCCATAGCTAGTGAGTGCCTGGGGCAGTATGAAATTGGTAAATTAGAAAGCTCTCTATGAAGACTTCTTGGTTCAATTTTCTTCTTCCTTATCATCAGAATTTCATTTTTGTGAGACTCTCTTAGGCCATGAGGTCTTTCCTTTACTTTTTCTGAACTCTTTGAAATCTGCTTGTCTAAGTTCCAGGATAAGCACAAAGTAATGTCCAGTGTTTCCCTCCTTGTAGATCACAAACAACTCTAAGATGATGGGGTTACTGCCTTCCCAAGATTGGCACCATTTCACCGTTGATTTCTCCCTGCTGTCAGAAGCAGGTCCAGAACAGTAGTTGTCCTTATTGCTTCTTATACTTTTTGAAGATGAAAATTATCAGCAAGGCAGATAAAGAATGTGTCAACCACTTTTGTCAGAGAGTAGGCTCCAGCAGGTATCAGTAGAGTTAAAAACCTCCATCACTATTGTTTTTGGTTTTACCTCAACACCAGCTATGTGATCTGCATTAGGAACTGATTGTCCATCTTCTCCTTTTGACCCAGTAGTCTATAATGTGTTACCATCACAATGCTGCATCTGTTTCTCCTCCCTTTTTTCTTCATCCAAATGCTGTCCACCGTGCCTCCTCCCAATCCTCAGGTTTTTAGATACCCATACTGAGTATGTATCTTATCAGTCGGTGCTACTTCCTCACCTCTTCTATCCGTATCCATGACTAAGGTGCCCACACACACACACACACACACACACACAGACACACACACACACCTTTCCAGTCTTCTTATACCTTACATACTGCTCCCACCTCCCTGTACTTTCTGATACAGCAACACTGAGCTTTTTAATGTTCCTCTCACTAGACACTCCTCCCGACTCCAGACATTTACTCTGGCCGTCCCCCAAGCCTGGAGCTCTTTCCCTCATCTCCACATCCTAGCATTCCTGGCTTCCTTCAAGTATTAGCAAATGTCCCATCTTCTGCAAGAAGTCTTTCCTGATCCTCCTCAATGCTAATGTCTTCCCTCTGTTAATTATTTCCAATTTATCTTATGTAGATCTTGTTTGTACCTAATTGTTTCCTTTCTGTCTCCCCTGTGTGGTGACCTCCTTGAGGGCAGGGATTGTCTTTTGCTTTTCTTTATATCCCCATTGCTCAGCACAGTGACCGGCTCATAGTAAGTGCTTAATAAATGTTAGCTGACTGACTAATACCTTCTTGAATAAAAGGTAAACTCGTTTCCTTCTTGACCATGTTTCAGTTATGAATCCCATCCTACCAAGTGTCTGTAATGCCTGTGAAGTCATTTTAACCTCCCAGAGTTCAAACCTCATATTCATTTATTTGTCTATTACACATGACCTGCATTTATAGGATATAGGAACATCTCGGGGCATGAGTACTATTTCTGTCCCGTCTTCTTCATTGTCTTCTCTTAGGGCTCCCTGTAGGCTTCTCCTCACACATCCCATTGTCCCTTAGCTTTGGAGATGGAGAAGTGCAATCACAGTGAATGGGACATGGAACTTGGAGTCAAGAAACATGCCACTTTCAACCATGTAACTTGACCTTGGCAAAGTCAGTCTTCTTTTCTGAACTGGAGTTTTGTCCCCTATGAAACTGTTACCAAAAATGTTTGTTCTGCCTCACTTAAGAGCTGTGAGAAGGGGGGCCGCTATGTGGCGCAGTGGATAGAGCACTGGCCCTTGGAGTCAGGAGGACCTGAGTTCAAATCCGGCCTCAGACACAAAACACTTACTTAGCTGTGTGACCCTGGGGGCAAGTCACTTAACTCCATTGCCTAGCCAGAAAAAATAAAATGAGTTATTATTGCTTGTTTTTAACAGAGGTGGGCGCCCCTAATGGGGGCTACTTGATCTGTCTCTTCCTTCCCAGAGAAAGACTGAGTCCCTCAGACCCAGGATGAGGAACAAAGCATCGGGGAGGGTAGAAGGTTCTCCCCAGTGCTTAGAGGAGAGCCCTGGAAGACCCCAGCCTCTGCCTGTATGGAAAATCCCCAGGCCTAACTTTAGCCTTTGTGGTAGCCACCCCAGGCTTCTTCCCGAGGGTCACAGGATTTATGACTAGAGGGGACCTTATAAACGTTTTAGTAGAAGGAATATGACTTATCTGAGGATCCAAAGCTGTCATTCCTCTGATTCCCAATTCTGTATTCTTGCCATTACAGGCTGCTATTTTTTTCAGACCCAAACCAGAGTAAGACATGCCTCATTAGCAGGGTAAGGGAGGAAGCAGAGACAGAAGAAGGAGTGGTAGCAGAAGCCTAGAATGTCAGAACTTAAGGGGCCCTTATTATATTTAATGCCAGAGCTAGGAAGAACATTCTAAGGCCACAGAATAGGATGTCAGTGAGTCAAACATTTGTTAAGTGCCTACTTATGTGCCAGGCATTGAGCTAAGTGTTTGGACGTACAAAGAAAGGCAAAAGACAGTCCCTGTTCTCAAGGAGCTCACGGTCTAAAACAAGCAAACCACCATGTATAAATAAATTATATATAGGATGAACTGAAAATAGAGAGAGGGTGCTAGAGTAGGGCAGGGCCTTAAAATGTAGAATGTCAGAATTGGATGGGACCTTAGAACATAGTAAGTCAGACCTGGAGAGAGAGAACCTTAGTGAATCCTTGGTGAGGAGAGACCCCAGAGGCAGTCTGGTTTGTTCTGTAGCTCAGCAGACATCCACTCCATAACGTTCCCCCAAAGTAGCTGGTCAGCTCCTGTCTGGACACCACCAGTGATGGAGACCCTAACAGCTTCTTGGCCACAGCACATCTGTGTGATTATATTACCTTTACTGTTTAGAGACTGTTGGGCCTGGCATAGAAAGGGAAGCAGCCAGCCAGGGAGAATGTACCCTGACCACATTGCCTAAGTCAGGACCTAGGTAGGCAGAAAATCCCAGGGCAATTGAAAGTGGCCCTCAGATAGCTGAATCTAGATGCATTCATTAATCCATGACCCAGCGAACATTAATTAAGCACTTTCTCTGTGTCTAGCCAGCACCATGCTAGGCCTAAAAGGTTCCGTAGAAGTATGAGTTTGGCAGGGGCTGGGAGGCAAAAGCCCTAGATTTGAACCCCCCACCACCACCACTTTATCATCATCTAGGGGAGATTAATGAATGATGGCTTGATGAATGAACATAGTAGAAAGAGCTTCGTTTAATCCCAAAATAGAACAATAGACTGAGAATCAGGAGGCCTGGGTTTGGATCCCAGTTTAGCTACTTATTAGCTTGACCTTGACCAAGTCACTCCCCCTAAAGTTCTTATACAGCCCTAAATCTTACGTTTTCTATGAACCAAGGATCAACCCATTTTATAAATAGCAATACTGTGGTTCAAAGAAGCAAATAGTCTTGCCTGTGATCAAACAGCTAATAAGAGCCAGGATCAGCCTTAAACAGGGCATCCCAAAAATATTAGTGCAGTGTTAAGCATTAAAATAGGTTGGGGCACTATTCTGGAGAGCAGTTTGGAACTACGCCCAAAGGACAGTCAAACTGTGTACACCCTCCGACCCAGCAATAGCTCTACCAGGTCTATATCCCAAAGAGATCTTAAAAAAGGAAAAAGGACCCACATACGTAAAAATATTCATAGCAGCTCTTTTTGTGGTGGCAAAGAATTGGAAATTGAGAAGATGCCCATCAATTGGGGAATGGCTAAACAAGTTGTGGTATATGAATGTAATGGAGTACTATTGTGCTATAAGAAATGATGAGCAGGCTGACTTCAGAAAACCTGTAAAGACATGTATGGACTGATGCGAAGTGAAGTGAACCAGGAAAACGTTGTACACGATAACAGCAACATTGTGCAATGTTATTGACTTAGCTCTTCTCAGCAATACAATGATTCAAGACGATTCCAAAAGACTCGAGATGGAAAATGCTATCCACATCTAGAGAAAGAACTATGTCTGAATGTAGATCAAAGAGTACTATTTTCACTTTTTTTTTCATTTTTTGGTTTTTGGTTTTCATGGCTTTTCCCTTTTGTTCTGTTTCTTCTTTCACAACGTGACTAATTTGGAAATATGTTTACGTGCTTGCACATATATGACCTATATCACATTGCTTGCTTTCTTGGGGAGGGGGAGCAGGAGGGAGAGAGAGAGAAAAAATTTGAAACTCAAAATTTTATGAAAAATGAATGTTGAAAACTAACTTCACATGTAATTGGAAAAAATAAAATACTACTTCCAAAAAAAATAGGTTGGTGCAATACAGGGCACACTTGGGGGCACCTTGTATTGATTGGTCCCTGGGAGCAGGACTACGAATAAGAGGAGGAACTTGCAAAGAGACAAATTTCTGCTCCATGTAAGGGAAAATGTCCTAACAATTAGAGCCGTCCTGAAGGAAGGGGCTGCTTCAGGAGCCTGTCACTGGAGGTTTTCAAGCTAAGGCTGGATGACCACTTAGAGAAGGTAACAAAGAGGGGTCTCCCTGCATCTCCCAACTCCTGGTCCAGAGCTGGATCTCTCCAGAATTCTACATCAGAGCATCTAGGAGGAAAGATTCTCATTCAGATTGGTTTTCCCTCTCTGATATAGGCAAAGACTCTGGGATTGGTCAGGGGAAAACCCCACTGCACAAACATAGGGGAGGAAAAAATGGGTGTTAGGCAAGAGCTGTCTCAAACTTAACATATCCAAAGCAGAACTCCTTCCCTTTCGCCTGAAATCTTACCATCTTCCAAATTTCCCTGTTGCTAGGGAAAGCCAGGCTTCACTGGCTTCCTTTAAGACTCAGCTCAAATCTCCCTTTCCTGGTCACACTCTCACCTACCCCCCCCACCATGCCCAATTATTAGTGTCTTTCCTCTGAGATTACCTTCCATCTACTCTCTCTGTTTTGTATGTACGTAGTTGTTTTCATGTTGTCTCCCCCATTAGACTGTGAGCTTCTTGAGGCCAGGTTTCTTTGTATCCCCAGGGCTTAGCACAGGGTCTGGCATATAGAAAGTACTTAAAAAGTGCTTATTGACTGACTTAGGAGGGAACCAGTCCAAAACTGAGACTGCCTGCCATAAGTTAGGCTAGACCTAAGAAGCCAGGGAAGTTCGAGGGTCTATCACAGATGACCCAGAGCCTCCCCCATACCGTTTATTTTTCTGATTGCAGATGGCCAATGACAGCACAGAAACGAGTGAGGCTGGAGAAGAGGAGGAGGACCACGAGGGAGACAGTGACAACAAGGAGCGGATGCCCTTCATCCAGTAATGGTCCCCATGCCCAGTGAAAGGAGGGAAGATACGATTGGAGGAAGGGGACCAGACTGGGGAATCTATTCTGTGCGCCAGTGAACAAATGCCGTAGTGCCGTGTGTGTTGTGTTTGTCTGCAGTCCGCCAAGCTATAAAGCTGTCGATTGTTGTTTTTTGAACTTCAGTGCCCACCCCGCCCTGCTCAGTATCGCATCTCGGCATTGATGTGATGTGCCATTCCTCTTCCTTGTGTGAGTGAGGTCCGCCTATTGTGGTTCCCTCTCAGTATTCCTAGAACAGCCTTGTAAATTAGGATGAGTCCACAGGCCCAACACCTAAAAGATATTCCTGCTTCAGGGAGGGGTTGGACTCCAGGATCCCTTCCAGCTCTTAAGATTGAATTTTATGCCAGGCAGTGAACGTGGTAGAGTTTGAAGAAAAGGTGAAGCATTTGATCAAGTCTTAGAATTCTTCAGACCAGTCCTGCTACTCACTGCCTCCAATCATACTATTGCTCTGACTTTAGGATATGGAGACCAGATTGGCTCAAGTAAGGCAGACCAGAAATAAGTTTCATGGATTAGTGGCCTCTTGGAACCATGCCAGTGGGGTATCCCACCACTCCTCCTTTACCTAACTACTGGGCCTCTTTCTCATGTTTATTAAGTCATTTCACAGTCCTTTCTTTGAAACCTCCTCCAAATCTTTGTTTGTAGCTCTTTCCAGGATGTAAGGAAAAGGTCTACAATCTATGGGTTTTCAGAAAAGATGGTGTAAATGGCATTGTTTGAGAAAACAGGAGGGGTAGGATAGTGACAGGTGTTGTCTGAAGGTACCTTTCATCTCTAACAAAGTGTTCTTCCCAAATACCACATTTTTAATCCATGAAACTATGTCACAAAGTGTGGCAGGTGGGAAGCCCAAATTAATTCCAAGAGGCTATAAGTACACTAGGATTTTTGCACGTTCACCGTCAGAAGGCCAAACTGAGATGTATTTAAGCCACTTTCAGTATTGATCCCCTAAGGACCAGAAGCTTGCAGATCTTGTGTGAAAAAGTCAGCGGGCGTCTTTCCTTTTCCAGAGCTTGTGCCAACCTTAAACATTTGGTGATGATCCAAAAGGTTAATTTTCATTGGCTAAAGCCAAACACAAAAGTCGCCGGATCTTTTTTGATGCGCAGTGTTCCCAGAGAGCCACCATTTCAGAGACCCTTTGGAATGACTTGCCCTTCTTCAATTCTTCAGTATTTCAAACAATCTGCAATTTCATCTGTTTAGGTGCTTCCTTCACTTATGCAGATCTCAGCCCCTCCCTGCCTTAGTAGATGTTCTTTACGAATGGCTATGGCCAAAAACATTCGTCCCATCGTGACCAACCCTTGGTGATGAGCCTTCCCATACACACAGCTAGGCTGGCCCCAAGGTGACAGACACAGTCTGGCGCTGGAAGCAAATAGCTGGAATGACCTAAATCCCTTTGAAATCAGCATCCATATACCTCTGAGAATATTAAACATGACTTCCCTTAACCCTTTTGTAAGAAATGGCTAACACAGCTACCTCCCAAGGATGGGTAGAATCCCCAGGCCTTAGACAGAAGCACTTCAGACTTATTGTCTCCACTGAGTGGCTCCACGAACAGGCTCTCTTCACCGTGGACAAACATAGGACTACCCCAACCTCCAAACAAAATAAGAAACGGGGAGAGGCTGGCATGGTCTGTTGCCTCAGCTCACTTTCTATTCCTGGGAAATGGAAGGATTCCTGGGGCCCCATTTCTCTCACAAACTGAGGACCCTAGTTCTCCCACAGAGCTCCAGGGCAGTCGTGATGGATATTTATTCCAACACTCCTCCATGTGATGGGACTGAAGGAGTCTTTTATAAATTGTTTACACATTTCCTAAGATACCCTCATTTCTTCTCCACTGAAGTAGCATATTGGAAACCTCAGAAATTGTGCTCCTTTAGCAGCATTAGGCTTGGGGAGTGGGGAGGGGAGGAGCAGAGGGCAGCTGTGAAGATGCCTCATTGTGCCAAACCTAAGCCAGAAATGAGTTTCCCTTGGTTGTGTACGTGGTGTAAGTAATAGAATACGTTTAGAGGAGGGGAGCAATAAACTACCCTTGGAAGTTTACCAAAAGGCAGTTTTCCATGGAAGATGAAAACATTTCCTAGTTAATGCTGACAGAATTTTCTCTTTTCCATGTCAGGAGCTAAGTATATTCCATCGCAGTGCCATTTCGAGATATAGGCAGCGTACTGTAGGGGTGTATATATTACAGCAGTAACAACTTTTGTCAGGTTTTACTGTGGGCTTTGTCCCATTCTGTAGTTGTGTCTTGTTGATTTGTCTTACCTCTCCAGAAACACATCCAAAAAGGAGGCAGAGAGGAACCTCAACAGAGCTACGTACCCTATGTCTCTGAGAGGTACTAGAAAAGCCTCTGCCAGCTGGAGTAAGTCGGGTGGTAGTGGGACGGCCCAGTTGGAATGGCAAGGGGAAAGTCTTGAAACTCAGCTCTGTTTAGAAATGAAATGGTCTTTGGGATCTCAGTGACTGGGCAGAGGAAGATAGGTGCCCATGCTCTCCAGCTCTTCCTGGTGCTGTAAAATGGGGCCAGTGCAACTATCTACCATCGTACAAGTCAAAAACAAGAAGGCCAGTGCTGCCCCCAGACACTGCCTACAGGCACCAAAGATGGTACCAGTGGAAAACACGCACGATCAGGACACCCGTCACGACCAAGCCACAGCTGATCCCAGGGGCGGGAGGGACGCGAGGAGGGGGAGGGGGCAAGAGGGAAGAGAAATGCGAGCTCTACCACAGTTACTGTTTGTATTACCCACTTTCCGGTCAAAGATTGTTTTCCTGGAGCAAAGGAAAGTCTTGATTTGCCTTAAGGAACTGTGAAGGCCTCTTTGGAACTCAAGCCTGATTGGAGTGATTTTAAACATTGTTTAATTGTCCCTGTTGCTTTAGAGCTTTGGTTATATTGTGCCTACAAAGCAAGTTATGTTTACATTGAAATATGAATAAAATACCACGTATAGCATTAACCCCTGCCTGGCTGTCACTGCTTGAACATGAGGAGCGACTCAAAGAGCCGCTACACGGAGTGAGGCAGGAGGGCCCCAGCAGGACACTGAAATGAATTCCCTGCACCCTTTTCAGAGAACACCCATACTACACAAATCCTTTTACAGAAAAGCCTTGTGTAAACAAGTGTGAGCTTATAAAAGGAAAAAAAATCACCAGAATCATGAAATGCCACTGAATTCTTTTCAACAAATAATTATTAATTTATAATAATTATAATATATTATAAAAATATAAAATAAAATATTTTATTATAATAATTATATATTATATAAATATATAATTATAATAATAAAGTATTATAAAAATAAAATAAAAATATGTAAAATAAACATATAATAATGAAATAATAAATTATTATTAATAACTAACAAATTAATTATTAAGTACTTGGTGCTGGGATTTAGATAGTAGATATTTATTCCACAGACCCTGGCTTCAGGGAGTTACAAACTTAAGGGGAAAATGACAAGAGCACAAATAAATACAGCACAAAGGGCAGGAGATGTTCAGATAAAGTGCTTTGAGAAACACGAGGAGGGAAGCTATAGGGAAGGCTTCATGGAGGAAGTAACGACTGAACTGGGCCTCGAAGGAAACAATTTGGACTGGTGAAGGTGGGGAACAGAAGTCCACTGTGCTTGGTGTGAGCAAAAGCAGGGTGCTAGAGAGGCTAGGTCAAGAGTGAGAAGGAGAGTACACGAGTTCAATTAGAAGGTAAAGCAAATGAAGGACAAGATAAGGATGAAAAGGTGATTGGAGTCATGTTATGAAGAGAGATCAGACAGGCTCTATGGTCCTTTCCAGCTCTAATAATTTATGAATGAATGAAATGAAATGAACAAGTGAATGAAAAACACTAAGTGCAGGTTATATGCAAAGCACCGTGCTATTTGCTGGGTCTACAGATAGAAATGTCAAACAGTCCCCACCCACAGGGACCTCTCATTCCAATGGGCAGCACAACCCATGAATCTATGAATCTACATATCAAAGAAAGCAGCTCTGCCTTTTTCTGAAATGGTTCCTGAAACAAAACCTCCTCTTCTTATCAACATCCATCAACCAATGCAGTTTTTTTCTCTTCTTTTTTTTGTTTGTTTTTTGCTAGACAATGGGGTTAAGTGACTTGCCCAGGGTCACATAGCTAGTAAGTGTCAAGTGTCTGAGGCTGGATTTGAATTCAGGTCCTCCTGACTCCAAGGGCCAGTGCTCTATCCACTATGCCATCTTGCTGTCCCATTTTTTTCTATTTCTTAAAAATTTTTCCATCAGGATCCTGACCCACAACACATGTATAACCTATGTCATGTTGGCAAGTCACTTAACTTCTCAGGCCTCATTTGCAAAGTGAATCTAATCCAACAATTGGCTAACCTCTCAGGTTCCTTCCACCTCTAAATCTATGATCCTGTGATTTACAATATGATTCAATTTGAGAAACCATGATGGATAGATGTCTTTTGAGGTACACATAGACTTCTTAAAGTGAGGCAAACCTTCACTGACTCATTTTCTCAAAGACTAATAAGGAACCACTACTTTATACTACTATAGCATACAGGATACTGGTTATGGCCTCCCAAAATTTTTCCCCAAATTCATCTTTTTTAATTGGGCAAAGTGTATCATTTGCTCAGTCCTCAGTTTACCCATTTATCAATGGGTATATTCCTCAGTGCAAGATTATTTATACCACTCTGAAAGAGACAGGTACACAAATAATTGTAATGGATTTGGAGGCAGTGTGGCACAGTGAAACTAAGACTCATTCTGGGAGTCAGAGGACCAGTGTTCAAACCTCAACTCTGATGTCTGCTGCCTGTAAGTCACCTAGAAAGTCATTTAACCCCTGTGGGCCTCATTTTCCTCTTCTGTAATATTAGGAAATTAGACTAGTTGACGCACAATGTTCCCTCCCCACTAAACTATAAAGGGCTGCTGGATACTGGGAACCAGGGGTTATTATCATACTAAGGACTCTAGTAGGTCTGTTGGGACACCCCAGTTTCCATGGAGAGTTATGGAGCATAGGGTAGCATCAAAAATTCTTGTGGGTCAGTTTCTATAAGGGCACTTATGGCAATTTCTGTGCCAGTTACGGGGGGTAGGACCAAATGGAAACCCTTAGAGTTGCTTGAGACATCTCATATAAGGATCCCAGTCACCTTCCTCATCTGCCAAACAAAGTATGGCAGGTGAAAGAGGAAATGACCGAGGAAACAAGATATTTTGAGGATTTTGATTTATTAAGCAATGCATGTCAATTCCCTAACAAAGATCCTCAACTTAGGTCTGCCTGGACCCTGAATGCAGGGGGGAGATAGATTTTTATATATTAAAAACAATCAAATAAGACCTAATTAAAAGGAAACAATATAACATTAGGTAATCTGGTTTCTAAGTGGATGAAAGATTAGGGACTTTCCGACTTGGGAGGGGGAGAGTGAACAGGTACAATTTCCTGAAATCAGAAAAGGAGGTGTCCCACTCACCAGTGTCTGTAAGCAATCAAGGGAACATGGAAACAATAACTGATTGCTCAGAGTGGTGACAGTTTTCAGATAAGATATATGGGGTGCTTAAGATGTACAATTATGAGAAAATTTGCATCAATCTTCGGATCTGACTTTCTGGTCAGCATAACTAGGTCCTTGGTTAAGAGTCTCTAAACAGCAGGGAGAGGTGGTTCAGCTTCCCAGCCATACAGGGCTGGGTTCAAACAATGCAACGAAGTTTTTTCTCAATTCCCATAATTGAATGAAGTTTTCTCACAGAACAGAAATTGGGTTAGACCCATGATTGAGTAGAAAGGGAACTGAGCTAGCTCCAGAATTGAGTGACCAGATGGAGTCAGTGTGGTTCATCCAATTCCCACAATTAGCTACTTGTTCTCCTAATCCCCTCCATTCCCTCAGAAGTCAGGGAAGCCCAGGAGCCCAAGAAGTAAAACCCAGTCAAAGTAAGGTACAAGGTAATGGCAAAAAACTCCTTTTCTTAAGATTCTGCCATGTATGCTGGGTTAGTTTTCCCCTAAATGGCAGCGAAGGAATTCCTGATACTTGATTGATCCAATGGAAGAGGGATCCAGCCATCAGATTTCATGTATGTCCAACTGCTCTGCCAGTCAATGAACCCTTCTGCCCAAATACTGAGTTACTCCTTGCTGAGTATACTGTTTATGCTATTAGTAAGTAAACTACTATGTTCTGTTAAGTGTTTATATATGAGTGCCTCATTTTGTTCCAATCTGGGACCTGAACCACGGGGCCAGCAGGAGTCAGGCTTGGTCCACAGCACACAGGATCTTAATAGGCATTAGAACTGAAAGGGACCTTGGAAATCACCTAGCTCAACTCATTAACTAAAAAAAAAAATTTTTCAACTAACAGACATTTATTTTCTCTCATTTTCACTTCCCCTCCAATGAAAAGGAAAGAAAAACCCTTGTAACAATTATGCATAGTCAAGCAAAACAAATTCCCACATTGGCCACATCCAAAGAAATATATATCTTATCCTACATCTTGAATACATCAACTTTCTGTCAGAGGTTAACCTATTAATGTTACAGGTGAAGAAACTAAGGCCCAGAGAGAAGTGACTGACCTAAGGTCGTGCAGGTAGTATAAGTAGGAGAGTAATTTCTAGGACCCAAGTCTTCTGACTCCAGATCCATTGCATTTGGCATTATACTGCACTGTTCCTTGTATGTATTTGCTTTAAGAAAATAATAATTCCTTTGAAATATTAGAGAATCAACCCCATTCCAATAAAATGCCAGTTTTCTCTTTAGTGCATTGCATGTCGAGTCCAAAACTATGTGGATTTTGAACTAGCTTTAAGGTTCTAAGCCCTCACTTGCCCCGAATGAAATCCCCTGGTTGGGGATGTTACTTAGATAGCATAGTGTAGAGCAAAGACCTGGACTTGGTTAGCTTGGGTGGGAATCTTGGCCCTGCTGCTTATGAGCTTGGTAATCCTGCCCTCTTCAGCCTCTATCATCTGTGGGACAGAGGGGCAGGTCTACATGGGTCTCAAAGGTCCCTTTCAGCTCTGTGATTCAGCCCTGAGGACCGAGAGGGTAGACCGGGCTACAGGCAGCCCCCCTCCTTTTTTATAAAGGATAGATTGCCCAGGGCCTAACATTTAGTTCCTGATTGGCGTGAGATGATATTTGGTCTCCAAGCAATAAGCAGGCTCCTACTGGCAGCCAAGCAAAGCTGTTTGAAAATGTGCTTTATGAATTATTCAAGTTAGGTCTCAGACAAAGGATTGCAGCCAGGCTGGAGCAGATGTAACAAATGCATACACACACAAATATACACCCACAATCACATGCATGCATGCATGCACAATACTTTTTATATGAGGAGAGATGCTCAGAGTACTGATTAAATATTCAATTAGTCTTGGCACAAACATTTATTAAGCACCTACTATGTGCAGAACCCAGTGCTTGGTATTATAGGGGAGACAAAGAACAATCTTACCGTGTGATGCTAAGGAAATCATTTCCCCCTCTCTAGGCCTCAATTTATTCCTCTGTAAAATGAGAAATTTAGACTAGATGACCTCTAAGGTCCCTCCCACCTCTGATATTTTGTGTTATATGTTCTAAGGTCCCCTTGCAGACCTAACATTCTATGTTCTGTCTGAAAGTCTTTCTCAGTACTCT